AAGGCTTTCCAAATCCATGGCTCATTTGCCAAAAAGAGAGGAGGCCAGAGAGACTGAAAGCAGGAATAGGAGCTGAATTGTGCTGAGTATTTCTGCTGGGGTGGAAAGTCAGACCTGCGCTTCTCTGTGGATAAGAGTCTCATTAGAAGTCTTCATCGCAAGAATAATTTATAAGTAAATCTGCAAGTGGTAGGCCTGGAAAGCACAGAATGAGTAGCACCCAGAGTTGCCTGTCTTTACCTGAACACTGGCAGGGGTCTCTTTACCTGAGCACTAGAGGAGACACGTTGTGACTTTTACTCGTGAAACAGGAGAGACGCTGCCCTTCACATGGGTACAGGTTGACTTAATTGTGTCCTATGTGGCTCAAAAATTCTTCTGCCAAAAATTCAGAGCTTCCAGGCTGGTTGTGTTCCAAGGGGCAAACTAGGAGAAATACTCTGGAAGGTTGCCACTTCAACCCATGCTTCCAACATTTCCCACAGGTAGTGCTTCATTCCTTTAGGGGAAACTAGTTTACTGTCAGAAAGCACGAGCCAGACAAAAATCACCAACATGAGAATAGAACCAGCAGAAATGAAGTGAGATAATCAAATTCAGCCTGAAAATAAGTATGGGAAATACACTTTGAACAATGATAAACAATCTGTGTAGTGGTGCTATAAAAATAATGTAAACAAGAATTGTGGGGACAAGAGATAAGATGCTAGAAAGACTCAGATTCGGAAAAGGACCAAGTAATACTTTTAGGAATAAAAAATACGGTCATTCACATTTTAAAACAATTATTTTGGCTAAAGAAAAAATAGACACAGTAGAAGGGATTTAGGGAACCCATATGTAATTTAAAAATATAGCTGCCCACCAAGAGATGGAAAACATGTTATAGGATATGAAAAATGAACTTCTAAAAATGATAAACTACAAGTTGAGAACCATTATTCTGCAAAACACAACGTTAAAAATCTAAGATGCCTAAGCTGGGTGCCAGAGGCTCACGCCTGTAATCCTAGCTACTCAGGAGTCTGAGATCTGAGGATCTGGGTTCAAAGCCAGCCCGGGCAAGAAAGTCTGTGAGACTCTTATCTCCAATAAACCACTCAGAAAACCGGAAGTGACGCTGTGGCTCAAGTGCTAGAGCACTCACCTTGAGCTGAAGAGCACAGGGTCAGCACCCAAGCCTAGAGTTCAAGCCCCATGACCAACGCCCCCCCCAAAAAAAACTAAGATGCCTATTAGAACTCTGTATATAGCTAATGTGAAGGTTAAAAATACTTAATTAAAGGTAGTACCAGAGGAATGATATAGTACCTATCTTAATATCAAAGTCAACTTTAAAGCAGAAACCATTGCTAGAGATAAAAATGGATAATTAGAAAACTTTTAAACTAGTTTTGTGCAAGTGTATAAAATTATGTGTATATCTAACAGCATAATTTCAAAACATCAGGAGCAAATTTTGAGCATATGAGCAAAAATAGAGAAGCCCACAATTGTAGAGACATTTTTAACAGACCTTTTCTGCAACTGACAGAATGGCCAAGAATAGATCAGTAAGTATACAGAAGATTTCAACAGTATTTAAACGGATGACCTAATAGGCATATATATTTAGCATACTATATCCAGTAATTTCAGAGCACACATTCTTCAAGTATTTACAGAACATTTTTAAAGAAAAATTTTTAAAAATCCCTACATCACAAAGCATTTCTCAACCAACTTAAAAGCACTAATACCACACTAAATATATTCTCTGAGCACCGTAAGATACAAGCAAGAGTCAATAATTATTACCAAAGAATGAGTGATCTTACAAGGACAATGTGAAGTAAAAGAATCAGATGCAAGCGTGTATGTGTCGCATGATTTCATTACATGTAAAACCCGTGTGATGAGGGAAAATTATACTATAGTGTTTATGGTACCCACACCGGAAGAGATAAGAAAGAAAAGCCAGTTTTCATAAAAGTCAGGAAGAGCTCCCAGAAGGGAAGTGGGACTCCATACAAACAAAAATCAACTGACTGCCCCTCTGTGTTTGTTCTTCCAGATAAGTTTTAGGATGCTATCACATTCCCTAGAAATTTCATTTGGATTTTGAATGGAATTTGTTAAATCCATACATTTCTGGGATTATTTGCACCTTTGAAATGCTGTATCGTCCTATGTAGGGATATGATATGTGTTCCAACTACTTTTTTGTCCCTACTTTTATATTTCCTTAGGGGGGAAAAATAGTAGATTTTTTTTCTTCGTTTAGAATCCATGTTTCATGTTTAGATTTTTAAGTATCCCATTAAGTTTGCTTCTGTTGTAATTGAGGTTCTTCCCTTACTTCCCTCTGTGTTTTCTAATGGTTATTGCCAATGTATAGGAAAGCTCTGTGTGTGGGGTGGGGGGTGTGGGCAGGGAGAGGGAGGGGGAAGGTGTTCTGGGAGAATTCAATTCAGGGCCTTGGTTTTTCACTCAAATCTGGTGCCCAACGACTTGAGCCACACCTCCATTTCTGTTTTTTATTATTATTATTAATTAGAGGTAGGAGTCTCAGACTTCTCTTCCCTGGCTGACTTCAAATCTCTATCCTTAGGTCTCAGCCTTCTGAGTAGCTGGAGCTACAGGCTTAAGCCACCAGTGCTTAGCTAGAAATTATTTTTGTTGTAGGGTAGACACTAGCAATAACTTTTAGAATGATTTTCACATTTTCTTTAATTCCTAGTTGACATTGACCAAATGAGGCCCTAAGTAGTAGGAGAGCCAGAGTTCTCCTCCAAATATGTCTGACCTCTGAATCTTTTTATATGATAGAATCCTGTTTCCCCTAATAAATTTAATTCTTGAACAGATTATCTGAAGATACAGTGAACACAAAGGAGTTAAAAGAACATAAAGTATTCATTAAAGCTATAAGGAATATGAATGAATTATGCAAAATAGTTACAAAATGAAATTGAAAGTAGGAGAGGAATGGAGAAGATCTGACAGTCGTTCAGATTAGAAGTCACAAGGTTTTTACCCTTATGAAACATTCTCTGAGTATCTGTATAGATAACACTGTGAAGCAAATGTCTTCCCAGTGTTTTTTTTTAAATAATAAAAGTGATGGTGAGCCATTTGGGTGATGGTGAACATGTTTAAGATCTTTAGAGTGAGCACCACCTCCATGCTAGTTTTTCAGAATATAAAACTAGAAAATGGGGGCTGGGAAGGTGGCTCAGTGGTAGAGCGCTTGCCTTGCATGCATGAGGCCCTGGGTTCAATTCTCCAGCATCACATAAGCAAAAAGAAAAAAAAGCCAGAAGTGGTGCTGTGGCTCAAGTGGTAGAGCGCTAGCCTTGAGTTGAAGTGCTGAGGGACAGCACCCAGACCCAGAGTTAGGTCCCACAACCGGACCAAAAAAAAAAAACTAGAAAATGTCCCTTCTAGCCAGACATTGGTGGCTCATGCCTGTAATCCTAGCTACTTAGGAGGCCGAGACCTGAATGAGGATCAAGAATTGAGGATCACAGTTCAAAGCCAGCCTGGGCAGGAAAGTTATCTCCAACTAACCACCAGAAAACAAAGTGGTGCTGTGGCTAAAAATGTTAGAGTGCTAGCTTTGAGCAAAAAAGCTCAGGGACAGCACCCAGGCCCTGAGTTCAAGCCCCACAACTGACGGAAAATGTCCCTTCTTCCATTTAACACAGCTTTATTTGTATCTTTGAAAAAACCTCACACTGTATTTCAGGACTAAGTGTGAAATAATTAATAAAAAAGATAAATAATAAGAAAATAAATACATAACTACATCTTGCAAGAAGGGCCAAGAAGAACTGAACTGGGGCAATTTGAAGTGGCTGGCCTCCTGAGAATGGGCAGTTAGGCAGAGGACAGGACCTGTGACATGGCTAGATGTACATGGTCAACAGCCAGTAGAGCACAGATAGGAAGCACTAGTTAGAACAAGCTGAAGTAGGTTAAGTGGGAAAGGACTGCCACATGGAGCCTTTGACCAAAATGTGTGGGGGAAGTCATTGACGTTTCAAAGGATACCAACATGGACTGTTAAAATATGAAGACAATGTGGTAACAAGTACAGAGACAATCAAGGATAGCAATGGGAAGGCCAGGCAGGCAGCTAATGCAATAGACAAAGTTTTTCAGACTTAGTACTGTTGATACGTGGAGCTGGCTGCTGCTTTATCATGGTACTGTCCTGTGCATTGCAGCTTGTGTAAACAGCATTTCTGACCTCTTCTCACTAAATGCCAGGAACAATACTCCTACTCCCCCTCCCCTACATTATGACAATCAAAAATGTCTCTAGACACTTCAAATGCTGTATGAGAGAGGAAAATTTGGTTGAGTCGTTACTATAGTCCAGAGAGCGTAGACAGTGAAGCTTTCTCATGGTGTGATATTAGGAGTGAGTCTCAAATCTAGCAAAAATGTAGCTGATTATATTGGAGGTAAGGTGCCAGGTTTTTAAAGGTTTTTTTAAGAATACTTTATTTCTTTTCCTTCTTTCCTTCCTTTCTTTTTTCCTCTCTTTCTTTCCTTCTTTCCCTCTTTTTTTCTTCCTTTTCTTTTTTTTTTTTTTTTCTGTGCTGGTTCTAGGGCTTGAACTCAAGGTCTGGGTGCTGTCCCTTAGCTTTTCTGTTCAAGTCTAGAGCCCTACTACATGACTCACAGTTCTACTTCTTGGCTTTTTGCTGTTGAATTGGAGTCTCACAGACTTTTCTGGCTTGACTTGTTTTGAATCACCATCCTCAGGTCTTAGCTCCTGAGTAGCTAGGATTATAGGCATGAACTACCAATGCCCAGCAGTTTTTAGAATTAAACAATAGGAAAAAAATAACAACACCAAAAAAAAAATGAATTCACCTTGCTTTTCTTGTGCCTTGGAGTTTCCAGTTGCTCTTCCTTGTTCTCTATAGATAGAAATGATGCCTTCCTAAATACAAAGCTCACAGTTTTTTAAAATTTCAGATAGATGACAGGAATGCTTGATCTCTCACCAGGAATCCTGAAGTGGGTAAAACTGATCGACAACTTTGAAGGAGAATATGACTATGTAACCAATGAGGGAACGGTGTTCACATTCAAGACAAATCGCCATTCTCCCAACTATCGCTTGATTAACATTGACTTCACGGATCCTGATGAGTCCAAATGGAAAGTGCTCGTTCCTGAGCACGAGAAGGATGTCTTAGGTAAGATTCCAGGTGACTTGCTTGTTGGACTTTTGTTTCAGGTGAGAACACCAGCAAGCTTTCTTCTTCTCTAGTGACTGGTTTCAAGATACAGAACATTGACCTCTAAATTATTAGGGCTATTATGCTAAATAGTGCATCCAAATCTTTGTTATGTGACATTACTGCAGCTTAATACAGTAACATAGAAATGGTTCCTAAAATGTGGAGGTATGAATTCAGACTTGCAAAGACTACTAGTGGCTTCTCAAGAGGCTGAGATCTGTTGATAGTAGTTCAAAGGCAGTCCAGGCTGGAACGTCCCTGAGACTCTTATCTCTAGTTAACCACCAAAAAAACAGAACTGGAGCTGAAGGTCAGGTGGCAGAGCTCTAGCCTTGGGCACAAAAACTCAGGGACAGCTCCCAAGACCTGAGTTCAAGCTTCAGTACTAGGGCATGCCCATGTGCGCACACACTCATACACACACAAAAGTACCAGTTATCTTTGTATACTTATTATTGGATACTAATCACTAATATTCAGTTTTTAAACCTATTAGATTCACAAATGTTAGCTTTCAGCTTTTTGAGTAACCTTTGGTTATTTGCATGATACTCTTGTAGAACTGAGGGTAGGTTTAAAGAATAGATTGCTGTCAGTTTTAATTTAAAACATTGTAGTCGCTTTGTATATTCAAGCACATTAATCTCTTGAAAATCTGCCTTCCACATCATCTGTTTTTCATGGTGTTTTCTCTGATTTTTGCAAAAATGATTTACTGCTTTGAAAGCTGAATTTGTTTAGAAAACTCACTAATTTGGAGACAGTTTTTTTTCATATAAAAGGGGAGTTCAGTACTTTTGGGCCTATGAAGATCTTCATAGGAAGACTTTACCATGTTAGAGGTGAATGTCTGTGATAGATTCAGTGACAATTCTGTGATAGATTCATTTAGGAATGCAAAAGCTTCTATGGTTTGCAGTGTCCAAGAGGGAAGACACAGGCCCATGCCCAAGAGTAGCGCTGTCTCAGGTAAAATAGTGCTGCAGTGTGTTCTTTGATGAATTAAAGCAAATGTCTGCACTCAGGCAGGTCAAGGATTACATCCTAGGTTATCATCCTGCTCACTGTTTTCTTGCTGGCTCAAGAAAGATATTTTCTTGTGCCTGGTAACTAAAAAATTCAAACCTGGAATTGCATGGAATGGTCTTCATGCCTGCTCTTTCCTACTGAATCCACAGCTACAACCCAAGGCAGCATGGCTGCTGCCAGGCTTTTCCTTCAAAGTAATTAGGCAGTACTGCTGCATGCATATACAGTAATATATGTGTGTGTATATTTGTGTATATGTATATATGTGTATGTATTATATATATATATATATATATATATATATATTCACTAGAACCCATCAGTCAATTCAAAGACAAGCATGGCTGGACTCTTTGCATATCATTATTACAGAACTCACTGTGGAGAATGAAAGGTAGAGATTAGTCATAAAGTACAACTGTAAAGTCAGGGCTTTTATTGATGACAGTTCACAAATCACTTTCCTTTATTACTCGCTGGTTCATATTTTTTATGTACTCATATTTAACACAGATTGATTTTTTTTTTATCATTAAGCTTGCTTGATTAAGGTGCTCTAACCAAAAGAAAAAAGAAAAAGAAAAAAAAACCTATTAGCTAGTGAACAAATTACTTTATTTGGATGCAACAATTCTTTATATCCTGACTTGAGCAAAAATTTGCTTTGGTAATCCAAGCCACTCAGAGATTGAGGTCCCTGGTGACCCTTAGCCTTCCCTGTAGAATAACATGATGTTATAAGAGGGGATTACTAGTTTCTTGGGTTACTAAATATCAGTATCAGCATGAAGTCAGAGGAACTTAGTCTTTTCAGCATGTTTGCGCTATTACCTGTGACGTCCATCTACCACTGCTTCCTTCTTTCTGGGTGGCCTGTCCCACTTCCGGCTGACCTCTGTGCCTCCTTTCCATCCCATGCCTTCCTTCCCATTTGTTATTGCTGCCCTATAACCAAGCACTATTACAGTGATCTAGCTCACCCTGTATCACAACAGTCACCAAGCCCTAGTGATTCTTCTTAGGAAATGCCTTTCATCCCTCCTTTTCCATTCAAGCTCCATCCCCCGTGTTCTCTACAGTACATGCAATAGTGTTCATGCTTGCTTCCCCTCCACACCCCCACTCCCTACCTCCACCATTTTCTGTAGATTTGCACCGTTTTGCAATCCGTGTCAGATAACATTTATTAATGTTGTTTCTATATACATTACCCCATGTTCAAACACTTGCTCTTCACTAATGGCTCACTCCCTTTTATCTGACTCACTGAATGCTGACTACTGGCAACGTTGAAAAAGAAAAACAATTGAGATTGGGTCTCAAAATGAAATGCTCACCCTCAGTAACCTAACTTCTTTCCCCTAAGCTCCATCTCTTAAAGGCTCCACCACCTCCCTGTAGCTGAGGACTAAGCATTCAACACACAGGCGGTAGGGGTCACTTATCAAAATCACTGTAATGGAGTTGTTTGAAGTTCACACATCATCTAGACCAAGATGTGTTGTTTCCTCTGGACAGAATAAATGTAACGACTGTGATCACTCATTAAAGGACTGTGCTGAAAACTACTTGAGATATTAAAATCAACTTGTAAAATGGCTTTGCAAGTCTTATTGCTGCTTAACACAAAGCAGAGCTCCGTAACTGTGTTCAGTTAAATAAATAGGAGAAACATGAGGTTCTCTCCTTGTCTTTGTAGAGTGGGTAGCTTGCGTCAGGTCCAACTTTCTGGTCTTATGCTACCTCCACGACGTGAAGAACATCCTACAGCTTCATGACCTGACCACAGGTGCTCAACTTAAGACCTTCCCCCTAGAGGTCGGCAGTGTTGTGGGGTACAGCGGGCGCAAGAAGGACAGCGAGATCTTCTATCAGTTCACTTCCTTTTTATCTCCAGGTGAGTCTTTGCTGTTGCTGTTCACTTGGAAACTTAGGCTTATATGGGTTCTTTTTTTAATGTGTGCGTGTGTGCGTGCGTGCGTGCGGAGTGTGGTGTGTGTGTGTGTATGTGTGTGTGTGTGTGTGTGTGTGTGTGTGTGCGCGTGTGCGCGCGCGCGCGCGCACTTACCCTGGGGTGCTGTCCCTGAGCTTTGTAGCTCAAGACTAGCACTCTACCACTTGAACCACAGCTCCACTTCCAGCATTTTGATGATTAATTGGAGATGAGAATCTCATGGACTTTCCTGATTGCACTGGCTTTGAGCACGATTCTCAGATCTCAGCCTCCTGAGTTTCTAGGAGTACAGGAGTGAGCCACTGACACCTGCCTCTTTGGTATGATTTGGGGGGGAGGGGCGGGGGAGAGTAGGAGAGTAATATTTATTTAGGTACTAGTAGTAGTAGTATTTGAACTCAGGACTTCACACTTGCTCAGCTGCCGCTGTCATTTGTACCACAGCTCCAATAAGCTTTTGATCTATGTATAAAGTACATAGGGTCACAGCATATAGATAACAGACTATAAAATCTGTAGCCACTCCTGAGGTATGATTTTTACATTTCATGCTGTCGATTAGTTTTCCCCAAATCAAATAATTCTCTTTTTCATGTTTTAAAATGTTGGTTATATTCATGTGCTTTGGTTTGGTTTTTCCCCTGCCTCTCCAATGTCTGTTTATGCAATCTCAGAGACATACATATACAGCAGTTTATCCCAGGAATCTTGCTCAGGTGGCAGTTTATAGTTGGCCAGGCAGACCCTGTCTTGAAAGCAATCTGGCCACAACCACTTTGTGTACTTGCCTTGTTCCTGTTTCTGCCCCCATCCGGTTTTGTCACAATCTTTCATTGGCTCATCAGAAAATAAAGCACTCTTGGGGGAAAGTTAGGCAGGTGCTGAATTGGCTCCGTCTTCTCCTGGGACTTGGCCAGATGACAGTGATGCGTCATCTGCTTTTCTTTAGAATCTCTTGAGTCACAGACATCTTATTGTGGTGACAGGTTGCTGTCAGGGTTAGGAAAACAGAAAGAGTGATGTTCCTGTAAGTAGCTCCGGGGGTATACATGGCAAGTTTAGGCTTGATTCTGAAAGCCTCTTTCAGAGAATCAAGAGGGTAGGGAAAGAGCCATGGAAATAGGCCTAGTGCCAAAAGTTGGGAGTCAGCTGTTGAAGAACTTCATGCATGTCAGATATTGTGCACCTCCCCTCAACCCCAGCAGCCCAGAGCCTAACAGAGTCAGGGAGCAGGCAAACCAATCCCTTTTCCCAGGTAGCCATTCCCATTCTCGGCTTCAGGGCCCACACTTTGTTCTCAGGCTTCACTGCTTTCAGAAACTTCACTTTGGAAATTCCCCTAACTTCAGCAGTTCCAACAGATAAAGGACAAAGAGGAGCAAGGGGGAATGGGGGGGATGACTCACTTGGTCTTAATAAAACCCAGAGTCCTCAAAGGCCTGTGAAGCTCCTTCATGGACCCTGTGTGACCATTTATTTTAGGAGCAAGCTCAGCATTACCTGGGGAAAGAAGGAGCTTATTGTCCTCGTGTAAAATGATGGGTTCTGTGCCAAGCAATGAAATATCTGTGACTGTGGCTGAGAAGTTTGAAAAGAGAAGCATGTTCCTAGTTAGTTCTCTTTTTTTCCCCTGCCAGGCAGCTTCTGAACAGCTGTAATTCATTAGTGCAATGCTTTGTCTGTTCCTTTGTCTCCTTGTACTTACTTTGCCTCCATCTTTCTCTCTTTCTCTCCTTAACTCAATGTGATATCAAAATCCTCATGGGAAGTGGAAATGTGGCTCAACTGGTAGAGCATTAGCCTGGAGTGTGAAAAGGCTGTGAGAGAGTACAAAGCCCTGAGTTCAAGCCCCACTACTGGCACCAACAAACAAAAAAGGAAAATAGAATAGAGCTTCCAGATCTAGGCCTTCTAAAGCCAAACAAAAACATGCCCATGAGATAATGAAACTAGATTTTAGGAAAGTAGTGATGCCTTTGTGCATTGACATCCTCTGTGAGGAGGAGAGGCTTACTGCTGCGGTCCATAGCAGAGCTAGGAGATTGTGACTAGCACTCCAGGGTCTGAAATAGTACTTCCTGCTGTGGACATGAGCTACCCCCGGCAGGTGCATGCCTGCAGATTTTGTTTCCTGTGGAGGTTCCTGGTGAAGATACATCTTGAGCCCAATCCATTTGTGACTTTTGCAGCTACAGTCACACTTGGGAGAAAACAGGCAGCCGGACAGTTTGGAGCACCATGCACTGATTTCCCTGTGGCTCAAACCACTTAGTAGTTTAATTAATGAATTCTCTTTGTGTGGACCTTTGAGAGTTACCTGGGGTGAACACCAGCCATACTTGCTACTTGTAATAATACAGAACTGTGTCTGTGACTCTGGGAGGCAGGAATGAGAAATCTTAAAGAAGTCTTCCACAGGGGCTGGGAAGGTAGTAGAGTGCTTGCCTTGCATGCATGAGGCCTTGGGTTTGATTCCTCAGCACCACATAAGCAGAAAAAGGCAGAAATGTCACTGTGGCTCAAGTGGTAGATCCTTGAGTCTTGAGCTCAGGGATAGTGCCCAGGCCCAGAATTCAGGCCCCACAACCGACCAAAAAAAAAAAAAAAGTCTTCCACAAACTGTTGAGAAAGACAAAGATGTGAAATGAAGTTTGGGCTATTTTTTTTCTTTAATAACATCAAAACTACCTAATCTACATGATCCCTTGGATTCTTCCTAAAGTGTTCTTCCTTCCTCTTATGTTCATATTCCTCTGGGACTGTGCCAGCTAATCTCCCTGCCTCCATCCTGGCCTTGTTAAAGCACTGTCCATCAGGAAGCGTCTCGAGGCCAGGCATTCCTTCTGGCCTTAAGGAACTTCCATAATCCAATTCTCTTGAACTTTGAAATTTATTTCCTGGAGATCACCAACCATTAGTCTTTTGTTCCGGATTCTAGAATAGTTTATTCCAGCCTCACCTTCCTGTTCTTTCATATGAGCCAGGGCACCTGGGACTTGGGCATCATTAGGTCAGAGTGGTCCACGTTATGGTGTGAATTGCAATGGGCTAGCCTCAGCTAACCCAGATGGATATGGATGCATGCATAGCAAGTACTAAGTGGTGTGCCTTCAGGTTTAATACCACCTCTTCAGTGAACCTCAGGGTCAGGCACATGATACCCTTTGGGTGGTGACTAGCCTCTGTTGTAGTTCATTTCATTCCCTGGTTAGAATTGATGTCTCAACCTTTCTAGATACACAGTCATGCAGGGCATCTCCCCCCCCTCTTTGTCTTGCACTGAGGAATTTGTATTCTGCTACTGTGGTGACCCATCTGAGGCCACTGATTAAAGAGTTCTGGCTCCTAACATGTTTAACAGTTGGTATGTTGTTGGTATGAGTCAGGAGGTCAGATGGCATGGGCTTGGGGCTTGGTCTGAAATCTGTCTTCTTTTTGTTTGACTATTTGGAGAGTTTTGTTGTTTTTGTTTTGTTGCTGTATGTGTTTGTAGGGGGTACCAGCTGTACTGGCCAGTTTACATTTAGGGGTGGGGGTGGTGACATGATCTGTAATCTCAAATGATTGGGAGACAGAGATCCAGAGAATTATCATTCAAGGCCAGCCTATACAAAAAGTTATCAGGATCCCATCAGATATGGTGGTGTACACTTGTAATCCCAGCTATGAGGAGGCTTAGGGAGGTGGACCATGACCCATAGATAGCCTGGGCAAAAATTCTAGACCTTATCATAAAAATAGTTATAGCCAAAATTGCTGCTGTAGGCTTGGCTTAAAGTGCTGGATCTCCTGCCTAGTAAACATGAGACCTGATTCAAATACCAGTGCAAGAAAGGAAGAAAAAGAGAAAGTGGAAAGAAGGAAAGGAAGGAAAGGAAGGAAGGAAGGAAGGAAGGAAAGGAAGGAAGGAAGGAAGGAAGGAAGGAAGGAAGGAAGGAGAAAAAGCTCCTGTCTGTAGGGAGCCTTATGCTTGCAAGATTGCAAGGATAGTGTTCAGTTCGGTATAGCAATGAATCAGGCTGCATGCTCCCAGAGTGTACCTCACATGTAAAGATATGTTTCATATCGATATATTTTAACAAATATCCAAGTATGACTTAACCTGACAAAGCCAGTTCTTTAGTCATGTTATGCATCTTCATACTGACAGAGTTAATCATATGCCCTTTTACAGTAATCTTCAAATAATCTATAACCACAAGAATGGGAATACCATTCATAAAGATTAGCTGTCACAGTTGTTAAGGAGTCAGATGCATTACTCCTTGCCCATGAGAACGAGAGAGCAAGCCACTGTTACTCTCCATGATCAATCCATTTAAATGTGCCCTGTGGTAGTCCTCTGATGTTTGGGTTTCCAGCAAGTACAAGGACCACAAAACCAATTTCATACCCTCGGCAGCTTATGTTTAAAGAAATATGTAGGGAGGTGCTGTTTCCACACCAGCTCCTCTGACTGATTTTTGTTTCATAAACAACAGAAGTGCCATTGTTTGGGGACATTAATGACTCATCTTATTTACTTATTATTTCTTTGTTTCTTAAATGTGGGAGAGTAGCATTAAATCCAGCAAGTAGAATTTTAATCAGTAGTTAAATGAGCTGGAATTCTTGGTATACAGTAATTATTTTGTGTTGTACACAATTACTGGATAATAAAAATTGACAAAACAAAACTGAAGTCACTAAGTTTCACTATAAGTGAAGTCATCTTTGAACTCTCTACATGGGTGTCCACGGATGAGTTAAGGGGCAGGTAGCAGAAGCCCCACGAACCTGGTTAAGAGACCCCTAATTGGTGGTTGACCATAGGCAAGTCATTGTAGTTTTCTGTCCCAGGTCAAAGTCCCCAGAAGAAGTTTGCCATTTTCCTTGACTTCTATTCCTAACCTATCTGGAATGGGTTGGAGAAAAATCTGTTGTTTCCACAGTTAGGTATTTTACCTTTTCTTTTTTTTTTTTTTTTTTTTGTCAGTTGTGGGGCCTGAACTCTGGGCTTGGGCGCTGTCCCTGAGCTCTTCAGCTCAAGGCTAGCACTCTAGCGCTTGAGCCACAGTGCTAATTCTGGCCTTTTTTTCCTGCTTATGTGGTGCTAAGGAATCGAACCCAGGGTCTCATGCATCCAAGGCAAGCACTCTATCGCTGAGCCACCTTCCCAGCGGTATTTTACCTTTTCTTTCACTTACAGAATGCTTGGGTTAGTAGTACAGAAAGGAGGTGGCCCTTTTACATGGTGCTTGTCATGCCAATCTGGCTTCCTATGACTGGGAGTAGAGATCCTCCTACTACAGTGTCAATCACCTTGAGGGTCTGGTTGTGCTTTGTGGTCCTTGTTGTTGCCTGGCATCTTGTGAGTCTTGTGAACTAACCTAAGGCTTCTTCCCCTTCTAGGTATCATTTATCACTGTGACCTCACCAAAGAGGAACTGGAGCCCCGAGTTTTCCGCGAGGTGACTGTGAAGGGAATTGATGCCTCGGATTACCAGACGATCCAGGTAATGGAGAAACTGATCCCATTCGTGTGCAAGTTATAAAACGGAACTTTCATCTGCTAACTGTTCACCTTCCACCTTGTCAGAAGCCACCGAGGTAATCCACGGTGATACCACAAATATTTTTGGAGCCTCTGTTGTTTCCGGGCAGTGAGCCAAGCTTGGCTCAGCACTCAGTGGTGAGCCACCTCTGCCCTCTCCCAGCTCATGGATTCTGCTCCTGCAGCTTCTGTTCTCCACAGGAAGCCAGAGTTCTTTGTCTCCTATTGCAGTAGTTGTCAGAGCAGCACCATGTGTCACCGTCTGCTTGCTGGAAAATGGGTAGTGTTTGAGCTAAGGTCTCAGATTTGCAGTGTGGGAAGCATTTGGTCTGGTGCAATGAGTCATCCTTATTTAGTCTGAAGGTAGATTTGCTTCCCTATCCTCGGCAGGTACTCAGTAACGTATGTGAACAAATGAATTAGCCAATGAATGGTCATTTCTCCACAAGCTCAGTCTCAGTCAGTCATCTCTTAGGCTCCCTAAGATGACCAGAATCTGAATCACCAGATAATTGGTGACGACAGTGTAGACTGTTGCTTTTCAGTAAGAGGTCACCGGTAGGGTACCAGGTGTTTAACGAGCACTCCAACCTAGGGGCCTGGCTACAGGCCATAGATAAGGAGTCAGACATGGTTTGTGAAGGCAGATTGGGACAGATGTTGGATTCAAGCATCTGGAATAATCCTGAAGTTGTTTCCCTGAAACCAGAACATTATTATAGTGTGACTAGAAATAGCCTAAACCTAGTTATTGAGCCCAATCTAGAGCATAAATACAGCTGTGTTTACCAAAAAAAAAAAAAAAAGTAGAAGGTTGAATTTGGCACAGAACTGCGGTATACCAACCTTTTGGGTGTCAGGAATATTTTTTTGGCCAGCTGTCCCAATGTCTCCATGGATAGCGGCTATGCTGTGTGTTATCATTTTGACAGGGTTGCAACAGATGGCATGACCCACAAGGCCTAGCCTAAAACATGTCATAGTTCTGCTTTGTTCAGAAAAAGTTGACTGGGTCCTCATTTGTGTACTTACAATCAGGAACACTGGGCTTTTTGAAGAAGCCCTGTTGGATGGGCCTGAAATCTGTGCTTTCGGGATGGTTCTGGGAAAGCCACATAACCCTCCTGTCACAACTTTTCATCTGTAAAATGGGGATATTACCTAGCGATCAGGATTCTTTTAGGACTATTTTGACATTATATCTGTGAGTCTGGCAGATAGAATGCAATCTGTTTTGTTCGATGGAAGTAAATATAATGCCCTTGTAGTTTTCTTACCCATTTGGCTGACTTCTTGTTAGTTTGACTGGCTAGGTGAGCCTTTGTCTGGATTTCCTGTGGGGACCTACTGTCTTCTATTAGCCATGGTTCATTAATTCACTTAGGCTTTATAAATCTGTTCACCTTGAGGGTATCATTCTCTGCTGCTTTTCCTTTCCTTCGTGTATGTAAATTGTGTCCCTGTCATCTGTCACATTGGGTTTCTTATGATCTGATTTTAGTATCTGCCTGGACATCACTGAGAGGGTAGACGGGCCAGTCCTGCTGGTAATGCCAGGGCCTCTCAGGCAGTCCCCACCTGGATTAGACAGAAGGTCTCAGGTCTTCTCAATCTACTGTGGAGCTTCCTCCACTCTGTATAAAGACATTAATATTCTCCTCTTCTCTACCTTCCTGCAGTTTGTGTAATTGGGGATCACAGGGTAGAAATGCCTCTGACAGTGTTCAGGTGTCAGGAGGTGGCCTCTGACAGGAAAGCAACTCGTTCTTCTCAGTGTGGAGGATGGGGGCTGCTTCTCCTGTCAGACCATGGTTTGTTCCTGCTCTGATCATGATGATAGTGTTGAGAGATGGCAAATCCATTGCCACCTCTTAATGTAGTGATTTCATTTGTAAATGAGGAGAGAAAGCATTCCAGCGGAGCAAGAGTCTGTGTGGAGTGGAAATCAATCGGCTGTGGGTTGTGGTCTGCCATCGAGTTTTGATGTGGTTGAGCATAACTGTGTGCTCACATCTTGATGAGGTTCTCCATGCAGCGTCCTATTGGACATCTGCCATTGTCACCCAAAAGCCCTACCAAGAGATTTGTAGATGGATGGAAAACCTAGGTAGCCTAGTGGTGTGTAGTAAAACCCACAGTAATTTGGAAAGAACGATCCTGGACATTTTTTCCCCCACTTACCATAGGGTACTGTCACTTGAGTCTGGGCTTTACATTTGTTTAATATGTAAAACACCCAGAAGGAAAAGCCTTCCTGGCTGTTGCGCAGGGCTCCGGGGTTTTCATGACTAAGATTCCTGATTGTTTTATTTTGTTTTTGTTTTAAGTTTTATTGTAAAGGTGATGTACAGAGGGGTTACTGTTACATAAGTCAGGTAATGAGTACACTTCTTTTTGAACAATGTGACCCCTCCTTCATTTTCTCCCACTTTTTCCCCCTCCCAGACCCACTCTGCACCAAGTTGTAAAGTTCATTTCCAACATAGTATCTAGTGAGTATCACTGTTGAATTGGTTCACCCTTTGTCTCACCTAAACAGGTGAGACACACACTTCATTCACACACTGCCTCTGCCTTTCTACAAGGTAGAGTCTACCATTGAGTAGCAATGTGGAGAGAAGCATCTCACCTCCGGGCTCTGCCTGAGGGGCTTCGGCTATGTCATTAGATGGTACTGGGCGTCGTCCTGGCCTAGTGGAGCAGAGGTCTGGCTTCTCAGCAGCTCATTGTTCAGTCACCTGCTCCTTCTAAAATGAAAGATAAAATTCATAGACCTGAAATGGGACAGTTAGCCGAATAGACTGTGTGGGTGCTTTGTTCACAACAGTTTCTGCATTTTCTCAAGGACAAAATGAATCAGTAAAATCCAATGCCCTTCCTTAAAGAGAAAGCCGTTTAAATCCTAGAAGGACAGTAGTAATAATTACACATATTTAATATAGACTTTAGTATCTTTATTCTTCTTATACTCAGCAGGATTTTCCTTTTCTGATGACCCTTGGGTTTTGGTACAAGTGAGCCATGAAGACTATGTGGAAAGTGGTTTGCCCCTTGCAGCTGAACAGAAATGTTAAAGTTAGGTGATGCTTTAGGGGCCAGACAATGGCTTCTGTTCCCCTCACCTTACATTAGATATGGGGGCAGGGGGGAACTGGAAGGTTTTTTTTAAGAGTTTGCTAAATTTGGTGATAACTAAGTTTGATTGCTGACATACACTTTGCTATTCAGACAGCATGTTCTTGGAACATTAATTTGTGTTTTAATGTTCCATGCCTAGGGCTCAGGAAATATAGACTCATTCTTGTGCTTGATGAGTTGACCTTTGAACTAGTGATATTGAGTTGGGGGTAGGGGGTGGGGTAAAGGTCTCATTCTGTATCCTAGGGTATGGTCTCCCATTCTCCTGCCTCCATCTCTTAAGTTAGGATTACAGGAGTGTGCCACCTTACTCAGTTTGGATAGTGTTTTCCTGTAGCATTGGGTATTGGTCAGAAATCTTCAGAGCATTCTAGTGAAAAAATGAATGAGGAACATTTTTAGTAAAAACTTCTTGAATGCTTATATATGATCAGGAAATTGCCTGGAATGGTATCAGTTGTTCCCAACAATGTATTGCTTTAGCATTTGTTTTTTTCTTATGTTTCATAGTGACATATCCTTGCATAAACAGATACCTGCCTATGCTATGGAGGTGGGCTGAATAGAGGGTCCAGTGTTCTGTTCAGGATACACATGTTTGTGTTCGTGTCACCTTCTTCATGGATTAGCAGTGTTAAAATGATTTGACTCTTGAGGGAAGGGGTAACAAGTTTGACAAGCAATGTACTTATTACCTTATTTATGTGACTGTAACCGCTCTGTATATCACCTTGACAATAAAAAAAAAAGTAAAAAAAAATGATTTGACCCTCTATAGACAAAGGTAGCTCACACCTATAATCCTAGCTACTCATAAAGCTGAGACCTGGAGGACTGCAATTAGAAACCAGCCTAGGCAGAAATCTGCAAGACTTTATCCCCAAAATGAAACAGCAAGTGCTGGACTGGATGTATGGCTCAAGTAGCCAGCAAGCTTGAGTAAGCAGAAAACCCTGAGTTCAAATCCCAGTACCATTCATAAGTCTGTGTTTTCTTGTTACCTTATAGAAGAGAAATTACGTGTCCCAATTCTGTAGTTGCTGAGGTCTCCCTGCTACTGTATACACTTTCTCTTGCCTGTCTGAACACATCTCTTTGTAGCAGTTCATATATATATATATATATATATATATATGAGCATGTGGATAACTGACAGGGCAGCCTAGAGAAGAGTGAACCCTGCTCAAGTGTGAAATTGGCATACAAAAGATTGGGGAGATGCTCCATGGCATGACAGGCCAGCATCCCCCTCTAACACTCCCTGGGTTGAGCTCCTGTGAGACTGTGAACTTTGGTCTGAGGATACAATCCTGTTTCAGTTGTGAATGGCATGAGCATGGAGATGGGGACCAAGACACTGGCTGAATGATGCCTGGGGGCTTAGAACATGGAGGTCATGCCAGGAAAACAAGTCCTGCCGTTGACTGTCCTGGGGGATGTGGGGTGTGGCACACTAGTTCAGCACTGTGGAGACTTGGCTTTGGTAGGGTAGCAAGGTGTTTGCTCACAATATTTGTCTTTTGCCATTTTAATAATGATTATGTATATTTTTTAATGAAGTCAGGTGCTAATGGCTTGTGCCTATAAGTTTAGCTAGCTACTCAGGAAACAGATCTGGAGGACTGGTCTGAAGCCATCCTAGACAGAAAAGTACATCAGACTCCCATCTGGAATTAACCAGCAAAAAGCCAGGATGAAGGTGTAGCTCAAGTGGCAGAGTGCCAACCAAGCAAGCAAGTTGAGCTTGTGAGTCCAAGTTCACATACCAGTTTCATAAAATAAAAAAAAAAAAAAACCTATAAGCACAGAATTCAGAACCTGAAG